CAGACCCAGTTCTTGCCGAACGCCTGGCTTGTCTGTTTCTCCCTGGCTCAGTGGCAATTACACAGATGACACCCTAACAGGCACAGAATGGTGCACTTCCCAAGTTAGCCAAAGCACCACTCTTTCATTTAAAAAAAAAAAAGGAAAAAAAACAGCACAAATGACCCAATCAGCTGTCAAAACAATGTCACAGACGAAACAGTGTGACAGATAGCCACCCAGCTGACAAAAAAATACCGATGTCCCCAAACACCTGACTCTCTGATGTGACCAACTGCTCACACTCCCCGTGAATGCAACAGCAAGGCCTTGAGGGCTGCAATCTCCACAGATCCAGGGCGAACCTGCACTTCACACGAGGGTGAGGGGGGTGCTGCCGCTTGCTCTTCTCAGCCCCAGCGAGATAAAGAAGCGTTCCTTGATTTATTTTCCAGGTTGTAAAATAATAATTTGCTTAGCTTGTCAGATGGCTGGGAGAGAGCTTCAGAGAAACACTCCCTCCTCGTCTGTGGACTCTACCATCTGCTGGAAAATAAGAAGGGCTCACTCCGCTCCCTTCCCATTGAATACATTTTGTCCAAGCAGGACTAGTGTCCCAAAGCAGGGTGCAGTGTGTTCCTGACAGAGGGACATCCTCCCCAGCACTGGATACAGACCTTATCTTGGCTGGGAGAACAAGAATAGTATTTCATGGAAACATGAACACCGTGACTTCTGCCACCAGTTTCTCAGTGCCACTCACAGATCACAAAAAAGCCCTCTCGGCCTCTCCCCAGCCCCTCGCCTTCCTAGAGGGAACAGGAAATCGCACCGGAGCTCCCAGTTTCTCAGTCCCACCTCTGGTCCTCCCTAGCCACTCTGAGGTTCCACGCCAGGACCCCCTGGGTAGGGCTCTCTGTGTCACCAGCCTGCTGCCAGCTGGGACAATCCACTTTCGGCCTGCCACCCCCTCTTCCGTAGCTGGCCCTGAGCAGCCTCCAAATCGAGGTGCCTTCGTCATGGCTAATGTCACCGCAAACCCGGGAAGAACGCTTGTTTGGATAGTCAACAGCCACTGAGTGCCACTGGAAACCTCCCCCAGGGTGAGTCACCGGCTCCGGCTCCAGAGTGATGTGTGATGTGACAGCCCTTCAGTGCTGGAGGGGAGGAGAAAGGCAAGGAGGCTTCGAGCAGGCCCTCCCCCACCACTCGAGGCCAATGTTTACTTCTACAGAGACTTCAGAGGATCAAAGGCTAGAAGGGATCATCTCCTTCAGTCCTCGGGCCCTCCATGCTGCCACCTTACATGACACCAAATCCTGCGGTGGTGATGCCATTCCACGAGGCAGAGGGAAGCTTTGCATGCTGCACTTCCTCCAGCACAGAGGTGGCCCGACTGTCACACAGCAAGAAGGGCAGGCAGGCACCAGTGGGGAAGGTTGGGAACCAGGGTGCCTGAGTCCAAATCCTGGCTCCACCACTAGCTGGACAGCAGAGCTTCAGCAAGGCACACGACCTCTCTGATCCTCAGTTTCTACATCTATACAATGGGAACAGCCAATGCACCTGCCTGGTAGGAGTGACAAGACAATGAGATGAGTTAGCAAATCCAAAGACCCGGCATCATGTAGGCACACAGGGAGCCTTCCCTCTGCTTGGTGCTGGGCAATCATGAATAGCAGCAGTATCGGAGGAAGTTCCATGGGACTTTTAAAGAAAAACATAGTGGTTTCCATCAATCCTTCTCCTCCAGGCTTCAGCCACTCAACACATCCCACTGAGCACCTATTAGGTGCCTGGGCCTCCAGCAAGAGGAGGGCAAATTTAGACAGAGATTACTAGGATATAGCCGGCTACCAATGCTGAGGTCAGGAGAAATCAACAACAATAACACGAGAAACAACCCCAAATCTACAAAGGCATGGTTGGTCACTGTCTTCCCCTAGAGCTGAGAAACTCACATTTTGCCACAGAGGTATAGGCACATAAGAAGGCTCTCTGAAAAAGAGTTTAAAAGTCTCTGGACTTGGAAGCTTCCTCCCTGGACCACTGGGTGAGGCAATACCAAGCTAACTGGTCTCAGCACAAAGCCGCACAATGAGCCCTCAGTTGTACCTGTCTGTCATGCAGGCAGTTTCTGCATCTTCTGTCTACACCGCAGGCCAGTGGCTGGAGGCTGAGAAGGAACAGGTCTGCGAGGCCAAACTCAGCCACACATGCTCACTGGACCCTGCTGGGAGTGGGTACCAGCTGTGCCCGAGGGCAGGCTCACCAGCACAAGGTAGTTCCCCTGCAGGACACTGTGGCCCTGCACCTCTGGTAGAAGTTGATGTTCAGTCCCAGCGAGCGACCCTAGGCCCTTCCCCACAGCCCACGTTCCCCACTCCATGCCCCTGCACCTGGCCCTAAAAGTCTCACCTCCTGCCTGGGCTCAGCTGGCCCAAAAGAAGTAAGAGACAGACAAGCCCAAATCTGACATGCACAAAGCACCTCCTGTGTGCCCGTGTCCTCTATGCCCATTAACCAGGAAAGGTACGGGAGGCGACTAGGACTATTCGAAGTCAAGCCTGGAAGCCGTGTGATATATCCCATGGTTGCCGCCTGGTGTGTAGAGCTGGGCCTCAGGCCGAGTTCATCCCCTTGTGCTCCTTCCTCTGTGTAGCGCCATTTATCTCCTGCCTCTCCTTGCTGTTCTTGCTCTGTGTCCCTAAGCCTACCGCTGATGGTTCTGCATACAGCAGGTGCTTAATAAAAGCTCTTGAGAGTGATGGAACCCCTGGCTTAAGAGCAGTGGGCACACCCAATCTAGGTTTTGAAAAGCAGCCCCCAGTACCCCAGGGCCCCAAGTTCACGAGCAGGCAAGTCCAAGGTGTGGGCCTGGCAGGCCTCTGTGTGAGTCTCCCCCGGGAGAGGGAGGCACCAGCCTTCCCCTTCTGAATGGCCTGGGGCGCAAATCCCACGCAGGCAAGGAGGCTGGCATGCTCCATCACCAAGGGCACCCCTAGCTCCTGCTCCTATGCCGGCTCTTCACAATGTGGTCCATGGGCCGGCAGCACGAGATGTCCCCGGAGCTGTCACCCTTGAAGACACTCCGGCCGGCCCCAGACCTCCTGGCTCAGAATCCCCAGTTTGGCAAAGGTGCCCAATTCGAGGCATGCACGGTCAAGTTTAGAAGCTGCCTCCAGCCGTGGTGCAAGCACTGTGCTGCCACCCTGCTCTGCTTAAAAGTGATACTACGCCGTACTTAAAGGTGACAACTGGCTTTGGCTGCAACTCAACTCCAAGGAAGCCAGATGGACGCAGAGCGAGGGACTTCTAAGACAAACCCAGCATTCACATGCCCAGCTCCCTCTGCCCCCAGCCCCAACGCTACTGACCAGGTGGACACTGGGGACTCCCTGTGACAGAGAGGATGTGCGGCCTCTTGGAATCCTCCTGTCCCCACACTCCACTTGGTCATCAAGGGTGACTTTGAAGAGAAAAAAGGAAACCATCCCCTGGGAGGGTGCTATGAAGAGTCTGCCACCAACGTGTGTCACTGTTTCCTCTAAAAACAAGGACGAGCATGCCTTCCAGAGCTAGCAGGCACTCTGCCTGAGCAGCCCTGGTTGGTCTCCCCATCCTTGGCTGGGGGAAAGGGTCGGCATCTGCAGCCAGCACCAGGTGACCCACGACCTCTTGCCATGGAAGGGACTGAGCGGTGGCCACTCAGAGCTAAGGGAGGGCAGAGGTGGCAGTAGGGTCTCACTTCGGCAGCTGCACCAGACAGGCGCTATCCACATACCTCCCACCCCCCAGGTAAACAGACAGCAGGAAACTGTCACCCCAGCCTGCCACACAAGAGCCACCAAAGTCCCCCACATTCTGAGCCCACCCTCTCAAGTCTCCTCCAAAGAGCCACCAACCCCGTGGCACCATCCAAAGCCAATGCTCCAAGCTGGCGGGTGGTTCTCTGTCCCAGGACCACAGCTTGGCACAGGCCACCCAGGTGCCGGGACCGCTCTCCAATGCCTGGACTCCCTCTCCTGTGAATCAGGGACCTCCCCCCATTTCGGAGCCAAGGTCAACTCCTTCCTTCATCATCTGTTCCTCAGAGACTCGGAGGCCTGTGCTTAAGCTGCCGACCACCCCACCTATGCACAGTGCTCTTCCAGTCTGACCCAGGTCAAGCCAGTGTGTCCCCAGCGGCCCCAAGGCAGAGGCCCCCAGGGACAGGCAGTGGAAGCGGCACACAGGAAAACCCCACCCAGCGCCCCCTCAAACCCCCAAGCCTGGAGCCGAGACGGGCACCCGCACCCCCGCAGGGAGGAGCTGAGCGCTGGGTTTGGGTACCCGCACCCGAGGAGGTGAGCGGGGCCATAGCCTGCGCGCTCCTCACAGGGACGCTGGGGCCAAGGCGGCGGGAGAGTCCCTCGCTGTCCCTGTCCCCCGCTTAATCCTCGGTCCGAAATAGCCCAATAGCCCGGGTAATCCCGGAGCGAGGCGAACGGAGAATTAACCCAGGCTGCTCAGGAAGACGCGAGAGGCAGAGGCGTCCAGGGGGAGGTGCGCCAGGCGTCCCGGGCTGGCCCCGGCACAGGGTCCCGTGCGGGGGGGACGGCGACTCGCCGGGGACCCAAGCCCGCTCGAGCGCGGGACCTGAGCCCGCCGCGACCCTCCCCAACAGACTCGGCGGTTCTCAGGTCAGGCGCCCTCGCCCCGCCGCCAGAGCCCCAAAGTGTCCACGAATAGCGCCCCCTGGCCCGAGCCGGCGCGCCCGGCGGTCGAGGAGCCCAAGTGCCGCGCCGTCCGTGCGTCCGCTTGGAGCCCGCGGGTGGGAGCGCCGCGCCCGGGGAGCCGCCCACGCCGGGGGTGAGGCCCAGGTCTGGGTCGCCAACCCCACGAGAGGTCCCCAGGTGAGCCTGGGCCTCCGGCAAGGTGGGGACGCCCCGGTCGCGCGCCCTTCCCGCCCAGCCCGAGGGCCGAGGAGCCCCCAAGAAGTTCGCGCGCCCCCGCCGCGCGCGCCCCCGGGTCCCACTTACTTGTCGAGGCGGCTGCCGAGCTCAGGGACGGCGCCAAGCGGCTGTGGGCCGAGGCCGGGGCCGGGGCCCCGGTCGGCGCGGCGGGCGCACGCGGCCAGGTGTCGCCGGTGCCGCTCCAGCAGGCCGGCGTTCTCGCGGCTCAGCCGCGCCACTTGGCGCTCCAGCTCCTCGATGCGCCGCCGCCGGCGCGCCAGCAGCCCCTGCTGCGCCGCGACGATCCGGGTCAGCTCCTGTAGGTACTCGGCCGCCCTGCCCGGGGGCTCGGCGGCGCCGGCCATGGTCCCCTCGCGGCGGCCGCGCCTCAGGGGAGCAGGC